AAAAAAAACAGTACAGGTAATCCATCATGAGGAATTTAACACTCAAAAAAATTATAGATTGGGAAACCATAAATGTTAGTGGTTTTTTAAAAAAATATTGAGACTTTTTGAGCAACAGGAAGTAAATATAGGCAGAACAAAACAAGAGAAGAATCCAAGGAAACTGATAAAGAACGGAGAAGGTTATTCAAAGTAAAAAAGGCACAGGCTTGACACAGGTATCTATGCAGAGAACAATGCTATAGCAATCAGGGGCCAGAGGTGGGGACATGACAACAGCTAAGAGCTGCAAAAGGTCCAACTAAAAACTCTGAACCACAAGGTTAAGGAACAGCAAAAGACATGACCCAACAGAAATGTTCACCAAAATTACTGACACTTTTTCATGAAAGGAAGAGATTTGTTACTTACCCGATTTATATGGTTGTTCCTTAAAATAATCTGTAGTAGAGTCTTCTCAAATTCTTCTAACTTCTTGGAACACTTTTTAAGAATATGATTAGATAAGTTATAGTCACTGATCAGTCTAGCTAAAGTATTTACAGCTTCTGTCCAAAAGCTTGAGAAAGGAAATTTGGGTTCACGGTAAAAAGTGATCAGGCCATCTAGCAACTGAAAAACAGAATCAGATACTGTAGAAGAGTTGTTTTCAAAGTGGCTGAAGTCTGTTTTCAGACTCCTGGATTCTATCCAGTTCTTCAGTTCAAGTAGATGTTGCAAGAATTGCATGTGAGAAGACAGAGGATTTTCTGGAGTAGTACAATGTCTTTTCACAATGGGCAGTGGTAGAAAGGGTATGGGGGTAAAGCTCTCCCCAAGATGCTGTGACATCTCTGAAGGTTCAGTTCTCTGCTCATTTGATAAATCACAGCCAGAATCTTCCACCACAGTTAATGTATTTTCAGAACTTCCAGGTTTCTGAGCCTGCAACTGTGAAGACAGGTCTCCTGAAATAGAATGGTAAATACAAGTGTTATCTTTCTGCAGCTAAAATATTTTCATATAAACACTAAACATTAATTTTTTATAACGTAAAATTCTAAATGAAGCATGTAAATATGTATTAAACATTTTTAAACAGTAATGTGAAAAGCGAATAGAGGAAGAACTAAAAAACTGCTTAGGCTAACTATAGAAAAGGTCTTTATCTTTACTGGTAGAAAGCAAAGTTGACTCACCCATGTTACTACCTCTTGTTCAACTATGTGCCGTGCTTGAAATATACAGAGAAGAAACCATAAGAACTGAAGGAGGTCACCATCTGGTACGGATTACAAGAGGTAACTACAAAGCAATGAGGGGTACTAAGAAAATAGGAGGACCTTGGTTAGCTTAGTGCATTCCAGAAAAGGTGTAGTGGAACTAATAAAACATAAGTAGAAGTTAAAAGTTAGGAGAATGAACAAAGACAAGAGCAGTAATTACATATACCAAAGGGGTAAGTAAAAAAGCACAGGCTCATGTAGTGAAAGAAAAGCACTGTGTATATAAGGACCCACCGTAGTTTGGTGTTCCTTTTACATAAAATATAGGGGAAGAGATTAAGATGGAGAAATATTTAGAAGCCAGGTCATAAAAGATCTTAAAAGACATATTAAAGACCTTAGAATTTATAAGTAGAACATAGAGCGAATGTAATTTAAAGGTGAATAATGTAAGACCCCTTTGGAAAAATTATATACACATCCACACATATACCTGATATACAAAAATAAATATAAATAATTTCTATATGTATGGATATTTATTTATTTATATATATTTATTTATAATTATTCTATCTATCTATCTATCATCTCATAGATCCTTGAAATTATGTCTATAACCACTCGAATCTTCTGATATGGGCTGAGAAATACTACAGTTAAGGCTTAACCAAGCAACTTTAGGTCATTCTTTGACAGAGATGCCATCATAAACACAAATAAGGTAGTTGTTGTTTGTAAAATGATTATCAACAAAATGTACACACAAAATTGAAAAAATCTCCTTTAACATTCTAAAGCGCATGCGTATATTTATGAAACCAAATTTGAGAAATATTGCTATCAGCAATGGAAGAAAAAAAATACAATAAATAGTATAATATAAAAAAGTGAAATGGTATTATTTGCACTTCAAAGATCACTCTGTTGGCTATATGAAGGGCAGATTGGAGGAGGAGACACAATGAGGCATGTAAAGATCAGTTAGAAGTCACCTCTCTTAGTCCTAATATCAGGTAATAAGAGAAATGAACCGAGCAGTTGCAGTGGAGAGAAAGGAAGGAATTAACCAGAGAGATAAACATAAAACATCAAAATATAATCTGGAAGCCAGGTAATTGACTGAATGTGGCCAATGAAATAGAAGGATGAATAAATGCATCCCGTGGTTGTAACAGGTAACTGGGTAGATGATGGTGCTACCAACTGAAATGGTAAAAATACAGACAGAAGAAGAGGCTTAGGAGAAATGATGAATGGTTCAGGTTAGGTCATGTAAACTCTGAAGCAACTGGAGGAAATCTAGGCAAAGATATTCACCTGGAAATTGGTCACATGAGCCTAATGGTGGGGAAAAAGTCTAGATTGAACACACATTTAGGAGTCATCAGTGTATAGATACTGTCTGAAATCATGAAAATGGTTATGATCACTTGAGGAGACTATGAGCAGTGACTAGAACAGAGGATCAAAGAAAGATGTTGAAGAGTATCAATATTTGAGGGCTGAGTACAGAAACACAATCATCAAGGAGACAGAGAAAGAACAATTAAAGAGATACAAGAAGAATAAAAAGTCAAGGAAGGAGTTTCAAGGAGAATTCCATGCAATACTGAAGTCCAATAAAATTGCTGAAAAACTATGTCAGAATTACCAATCAGAAAATCACCAGTGATTGTATCCAAAGCAGCTTTGGTCAGTCAGGGTGGTGGGCAGAAGCCAGAGCACAACAGACTAAAGACCGAAGAGGCAGAAAGTAAGTGAAGAATGACCAATACTTCTGATGACTTGGATCAGGTGAGTATAAACTAGAGAGTAACTTCAGGCAAATGTGGCATGACAAATTGAGAGAAACTTGAGCAATTATAGACTAAAAAGAAAAAAAAATAGAGAAGTATTAGAGATATGAAAAAAAATGAAAAATTCCAGGTGGAGTATGGTCGTAGAGAAGGTAGGAGGAGACTGAGTCAAGGAAAGAAGATGAGAATGTATGGGGATATTTAAAAAATACCCGTCATATAGGAAGTTAAAGGAGATCTCACCGAACGGTTATATATACTCTTTTAAAGCTGAAGACAGGGTGGAGACTAGTTGAACAGGGCATAAGAAGAATGATGTAAGTGACATCTTCTACTCTCCCCGCCATACATTTAGAAATCTATCTCATTTGTTGCTCTTTTGTCTTTCAGTACAACTAGAAGCTGATGAGGCAAAATTAGAGAATTGAGCTTTAATTTAGAGTTCATTCACTTACCAAGTGTCTATAATAAGCTCTGCAAACGTGCAAATATGTGCTTGTTAATTATCACGACAATATCTATGCTCCATGTTAGGGAGATAATGTAATAAGTTAAAAAATGTAGTGGTACCCAGAACAGTGAAGTATCAGCAAAACATTTCATGGCATGTGGCTATTTCTATATTAAAACAGGCAGACAGCCTGCTCGTTTTAAGCCAACGGACAGTTTCTTTTTCTTATGAGTAAGGATAAACATTTGAAATGATTTCTCACGACATCCATCTCACTCTTCACAAAAGTAAAAGCGGGGGTTACTACAGTAGTTATTTGGGTAGATTATTTTTTTACAGAATTCAAAATGGTGCTCCACTAAGAAAGTGAACACAAGTTTAAATATTTCATTAACCTACTCAACTTTCCATCAAGGTAAGCTGAACTTCATGGGTGATGACTTTAAGGAAGACTCGTAAAATAAACTCTACCAACTATTGGGAAGCAAAAAGCTGTTTTCTTGTTTCTGCTTTTCACTCCTCATGGGTGTGCCTTTTGGCAAGTCAAAACCACTCCATCTCATCTCCTTCATGTGCTAATAGGTACAAATTTGAAGGAAGTCATTCTACCTGTGCACGTGCTTTGGGGATAGGAATACACAAAACCAAGCACTATTCTTCCTGGCTGCTTTGTTTCTGAACCCTCAGGAAAGAGGGGTCAGTGCATACACTGGAGATGGCACTGTGGAAAACTACAGAGAAGAATGCCCTCTCCATTCCCAAAGGACTGCATAAACTCCACAAAAGAGTACCACACTGAGATTTTGTACAATATGGCTTACATTATTAAAATTACTCAAATTGCATAGGAGAATTTTATATGCACATTTCACTTTACAAAGTGGTTTCAGTGAATAATTCAATTGTTATTCCCAACAACACTGTAAGATATGTTATCATCATCCCAAAATTACCAGTAAGTCAAAGCAGGCTCAACTTGATTAAGAGGCCTAAGAAAAGCCACACAGTGAGCAAGTGAAACCAATTCTTCAGTTCCAAGTCTGATCATCTTCTAACCATAGCAAAGAAACCTGTGTCTCCATGCCAGCTTCGGTACATTCCCATTAGAGTATTCATTGATTTCTATGTGTTATCCACTTGTTTATGAGCTCCTGAATGGCAAAAGTCCTGTCTCTTGTCATTGTGGTTGTCGCACTGAATAACAGTATCATCTGTAGTAGACATCTTATCAGGAGAAATGCTAAGTGCTACAATTTGCTGCTGGCTGTGACACACCTCTCATCCTTTAATATTCATATTGTCCCAGGATCAACTCCTTTTCAACTTATACTTAACCACAATTTTATATAGAGAGAAGAGAGATAACATAGGATAGATAGAAAGAATAGAGTTATTGAAATAATCATTTAAAACATCTCAGAATACTTGTTAACAAACAGCCAATAATGTTTTTTATAGCATCTACTATTTCTTATAACCAAGAACTAATTTATTTCCTCTTTTGTTTGTCCTCGGTGATGAAAACTTCGAAGACTACAAACAGCTTTTGAATTAGAAACTGAAACCAGCACCTCCATATTGGAAAGGACTCAGTGCCTCATAAAGTAAATAATACTGGGCAAATGTCACTATTACATATACCCTTATAAGATAGCAAAGAGATATAGGAAAAAAAAGTTTCTAGAGAAAAACATTTTTCAGTGATACTGAATATTAACAGGCTATAATCTCTGATAATAGTTATTAATAAGATTTATTCATAAAAACAAGATTTTTAAATATTCACCCTTATTTGAATAATATATAGCAGGAAAATAGTAACATACCCCTGTCTCTTTAAATGAGTCTTACAAACTAGAATCAGATTCTACTCATTTGCTTGGATGACTTGTCTCATCATAAATCTCAAAGCATGGCTAATGAGGCATCATACCCATAAGAGAGAAAAGAAAATAAAGCCATACTACTGCACCTTTCTTTAATTTCTGTTTTCCAGAAGGGTCTAAGGTGAAGCAGAAGTCAAATGATGCTTCTCTCTTGATTTCTTATTGTGCTGAAGGGATTGAGGACTGTAATCTCTCTCCAAGTCATTGGATATGATCTAACTAACATGTTTGTCATTAAGTTTAAAAGAGATAATTACACACATACACACACTTTGATCAAGCACAATCTAGCACATATTAAATGCTCCATAAAATTTAACTATTGATATTAAATGATTATAGACATCAAGAATCTAAATTATGCTGAAGTGTGAAATCACATATAAAATATGTGAAATAAGATGCCAGTTAAAACTATAGATTCTGTCTAAAATATCCTATGGTGCCTCTTATATATTGGATCCCACAGGCTTTCATTTCCACTTTATTAAGTCCTTAACTCTTTCATTTTCTTTCACTTGTTAGGTTCCATCTTAACTCCTCTTACTATTTTAGAATGCATCTCAAGTATAATCAACAAAATAGAGCAGGTGTCCTCCTGCCACA